CTTCTCACTTCCCCCCCTCTCACTTCCCCCCCCTCGCTCGCCGCCGATCTCTGACATGAAAATCGAATATAATGAATCAAAATGAATGAAGCGAGAACATGCTGGAAACAATTGTCAAAATCTGGAATCGGTGAAGAAAACGATGTTGGAATGATTTCCCGCCCAGGATGGACGTCGCAACAGTGTGGAGATGTTTGGATCATCCTAACTTTTTCTCATTTCCCCTCTCGGCGTCACCCCAACATATTTATACTATGTCTATGTGTGCGTCGCCCCCCCCGGGGGCAATGCGCGCACCGAGAAATCTTATAGTATATGCGTCGTGGCGGGCGCTTTCTGGCCACACCGCTCGGGACACGATATACTGCAAGATGGGCATACTATATGTTTGGGTCGAACGCGCGCCTCCAAGGAGAACATCGAGTATTAGCATGTCCGTGTGCACCCGAACATATAGTATATCCATCTTGCAGTGTATCGTGTCCCGAGCGGTGTGGCCAGAAAGCGCCCGCCACGACGCACATACTGTAAGATTTCTCGGTGCGCACGTCGTCCCTGGGGGGACGACGCACACGTAGTGTTAGTATGTTGGGGTGACGCCGATCGCCGCCGCTCTTTACAGCCATGCGCAGAGTGGAGTGGGGGGAGGGGGGTGGGCTTCTTAGAAGCACCCCTGCTTCTTAGAATGCGCGGGCCTTCTCTATAGAGGTAAGGCCGGCGCCTTCTGAGAAGCAGCCTCCTGCTAAGAAGCCCTCCCCCCTCCCCCTACCCCCTTTATGCGCGCCGCCAATACTTGGTGATGATGAGAAGGAGGGCCAGGGGGGAGGAGGGGGGAGCAGGGAAAAGGGCGAAGGGGGAGGCACAGTAGCAGGAGGAAGGGAGGGAGGGAGGCAGGGAGGCAGGGAGGCAGGGAGGGAGGGAGGGAGGCAGGGAGGGGGGGCGCAGTAGCACGAGGCAGGGAGGCAGGGAGGCAGGGAGGGAGGGAGGGAGCAGGTCCGTGTCCACGCGGCCTCTCGGCCTGGGCCCTGCAGCCTCGGGGCCCCCAGTGGCCACGCGCCGGCGGAGCGCGCCCTCAGAGGGCTGCGCGGTGGCGCTGCATCGGGCGTGTCCCCCTACAGTGAAATCGGGCCTGTCCCTCTACAGGGGGGATTCGTGAAAACATAGTCTGGGGACTACTTTCTGAGTATCTTTGGGCATGTTTGGAGTATTTTTTGAGTCTTCCTGGTTTTTCGTCCAAAATCCGCCTGTAGGGGGACAGGCCCGACCTAACCCTACTGGAGGAACTGGTCCAAGCGTGCTCCGTGGACTACTTTTTGATCATGCTTTTGGACTAGAGTTGAACCGTCTGTTCTTGCTGTGTGTTTGGTTGTCCGCCAGAATCTGCATGTATAGGGGACATGCCAGACCTGACAAGCGCGGGATCGCGCCTGGGCCAGGGGGCCACATGCGAATCCCACCCTCCCCCTCAGAAATCGTGGGGGTAGGGGTAGGATTCGCATTTGGCCCCCTATCTCAGGCGATCGCAAACATGTATTAAGGGGGCGTGGATTAGCGACGGGTCCCACTTCCATGGGAAATCGCGGATTTCCCCCGCCGAACGGGGCGGCACCGGCCGCATTTTGGGGAGGGCGCCTCCCCCGATCCATGGATCTGGCGACCGCGCGCCAAATCCGTGGATCGCTTATCCATCTTTGCGCGCCCCCGACTGTCGGTGGTCTGGCCCGCGAGGCCGGGGACACGGGGACGCTTCCTCGAGGTCCGGTCGCTGAGCGGCCTCGCCACGACGGGCGCCGTTCGCCCGGCGTGTCGGGCCCCCGGACTGTCACGGATGGGTCCGGCGGGAGAAGGCTTCCTCCTCCTCCTCCTCCTCCTCCTCCTCCTCCTCCTCCTCCTCCTCCTCCCCCTCCTCCTCCTCCTCCTGCTCCTCCTGCCCCTCCTCCTCCTCCTGCTCCTCCGCCGCCTCTGTCACGGATGGACCCGGCGGGAAAAGGGCAGCAGAGAGATGCGGTTGGTTTTGGGGTTTCTGCGATGTTTCGCGATGCTGCATCGGCGTCATCCCAGCATGCTAGCATCGCAGGCCTAGAGGTTGACACCAACACCAAGATCGGTGGTGTTCCTCCACCGAGGGAAGACGAGATCTCGGTGATGGTGGTCATATTCTGGCTTCCAGGGTGGCCGACATGTTACCACCAACACCGAAATCCGGGCTAATCTGCCCCCTGTGGAGGCAACCCCTTGTGTTGGTGTTGGTGCCCATCTCCAGGCCTCCAGCAGCAGACACATGCGGTGGGTTCGGGGCTCCAGTTGCGATGCTTCGCCATGTTGCATCGGCGTCACCCCAGCATAGCACTACTGCATGTGCGCCGCCCGCCCAAAGGAGCGACGCGCGCGCCGAGAAATGTAGCACGTGCATGGTGGCGGGCGCTTTGGGGCCACGCCGCTCGGGAAGCGACAGACTACAAGATGGGTAGATTTGGATGCAACTCTTGGGAGGTCAAATTCTGATTCTACAGGCTTACGCCACATACGCCGACCCGTTCTGTGAGTGTTGCGAGGCCAGCGGCGTCTTGTGTGAGGGTGCGATGTCGCGCGCGGGTGGTGGCAGATACGTAGGGGGTCCAAATGTTTGCGTGATGCCGGTGGTCTGGGGCGTGTTTTGCGAGCGCCTTGCGTGCTGTGCACCCGGGTGCGGGGTGTCTTTCTGGGAGGTCGGCCTTTCGACCCGCAGCCAAGTGGAGGACCACCGGAAGACGAAAGGAGCAAGAGTGGCGTGCGGAAGCTGTGATCAGCGAGGCATCGCCGCGAAAGATGTGGCAGATGAGTCGAAACGGGTGAAGAGGCTGTTGACGTTCGCAGCGCGCACGGAACAGTTCGCGCGGCAGCAGCACATTAGCGCCGAGCAAGAGAGTGAACACTTCACGAGGAAGAGTAAGGCTGTACGCGCGGAGTGCATTGCAGTTGGCATCACGGCTCGCAATACGGAAGCGTCTGGGGGTCTTTTGGGGGCCTCCTGGGGGCCTCTTGGGGGCTCCTTGGGCCGTGGGGGCCTCTGGCGGCCTCTTGGGGCATTCTTGGGGGCTCGTGGGGGCGGAAAACTAGATTTTTGAATTTTTGGTTGCCCTCTTGGGCCCCTCTTGGTGACGTCTTGGAGCCTTCTTGGGCCGTCTTGGGGACCTCTTGGGCCGTCTCGGGCCATCTTGGGCCGTCTTGGGGGCCTCTTGGGCCGTCTTGGGGCGCGGTCTTCGGGGCCTCTTGGGCCGTCTTGGAGCGTCGGAAAGCCCAAAAGGCCAATTTGTGAAACATATACGTTTTACAAAGAAAAGGAGCAAATTTCTGCGTCTAGGGACCCTCTTGGGGCGTATCTTGGAGGCCTCTTGGGGGCGCCTTGGGCCATCTGGAGGCCATCTCGGGTGTCTCCGATCGGTCTTGGACCGTCTGGGACCATGTTGAACTCTCTTGGAAGCACTCAGAGCGCTCCTGGAGCGCTCTAGGGGCCGTCTTCGGGGCTTTCTTGGGCCGTCTCCGGCGCCTCTTGAGCTGCCTCGGGGCCCTATTGGGCTGTCTTGGGGCCCTCTTGGAGGCTTCTTGGACCGTCTTGGGGCGGTCTTGGAGCGGTCTTGGGGGCCTCTTGGGCCGTCTGGGAGCGTCGGAAAACCTCAAAAACTAAGTTGTGAAACGTGTTCATTTTACGATGGGAGCGGGCCAATTTTTGCGTCTAGAGGCCCTCTTGGGACGCATCTTGGATGCCTCTCGGGGCCTCTTGGGGGCATCTTGGGCCGTCTGGAGGCCATCTTCGGTGTCTTTGATCGCTCTTGGACCGTGTGGGACCAGATTGAGCTCTCTTGGAGGCCACTTGGAGCGCTCCTGGGGCGCTCTTGGGGCCGTCTTCGGGGCCCTCTTGGGCCGTCTTTGACGCCTGTTGGGCCGTTTTGGGGCCCTCTTGGGCTATCTTGGAGCCCTCTTGGAGGCTTCTTGGGCCGTCTTGGGGCGGTATTGGGGGCCTCTTGGGCCGTCTGAGAGCATCGGGAAGCCCAGAAGGCGAATTTGAGAAAATTGCACGTTTTACGAAGAGGATGGGCCCATTTTTGCGCCAAGGGACCCTCTTGGGACGCATCGTGGAGGCCTCTTGGGCCGTTTTGGAGGTCTCTTTGCTTGTCTTGGAGTCATCTTGGTCGTCTTGGACCGCTCGTTTGGCTACTCAAGGCCTTCTTGGACCGTCTCGGAGACCCGTTGGTGCGCTCTTTGCCCGTTTTTGGGCCCTCTGCTCCCCCTTGGCGCGTTCGGCGGGGGGTCGTGGTAGGCGAGGAGGGGGGGGTCAAATCTTCGGTTTTGTGTCCTTGGGGGGGGGGTATGGGGGGGGGGAACTATCTCACACGCCTAGATACCCACAAGGGGTCGGCGGTCCCTGGGGGGGGGGGGTTATGGGGGGGGGGAACTATCTCACACGCCTAGAGACCCACAAGGGGTCGGCGGATTTTGCCCTGGTCCGAAATCCAGCTTTATCCGGCTTAGTCCCGTTTAATCTGGCTTAATCCCGCTTAATCCGAGGCCCACTCCGGCGTAACAGCCCCCAAGTGGGGCTTCATCCTCTTTAATCCTTCCGACGAAGACCTCCCAGCAATTGCCTCCTAAGGTGGACTTATGTGTTCGGGTCGGACGCGCGCCTCCATGGAGGACATATAGTATCCAAGACACGCGACGTCCTGACTTTTTCAGTGCGGCCTCCCCGGAAGTCCAGACCCTTTCCCCAGGGCCGGTTTTTCACCCCGTGACGCTCCCGGAGCCCAGCGAGGGCCCTCGGGGGCCGAACATAGCGAATCGCGCGCCGTCCCGATTTTTGTTCGACGCGCTCACGTGTGGGGACATGTAATCTTAGCACGTCTCTGTGCGTCCCAGTGCGAAGAGGTGCGCTCTCGACCCGCGAATAAAAAAACTGCGCGTCCCGGTGCAGCTTTTGCGCGGCGCCGGACCTCGGGGCCCGCCGCCCGTGGAGGTGCCGCCGCCGCCGCGGCCGTGCTCCTCCGCCGCCGGCCGCGCGCGGAGGAGGGCGCCGAGGATCGCCCTCGGAGAGAAGGGACGCGCGTGCGGCTGGCGTTCGATTGGTGGCGTGCGATGTTTGGCCTCCTCCTCGAGATCCTCCTCCTCCTCCTCCTGCTCCTGCTCCTGCTCCTGCTCCTCCTGCTCCTCCTCCTCCACCTCCCCCTCCTCCTCCTCCCACTGCTCCTGCTCCTCCTCGAGGTCCTCCTCCTCGAGATCCTCCTCCTCCTCCTCCTCCTCCTCCTCCTCCTCCTCCTGCTCCTGCTCCTGCGTTCCTGCTCCTCCTCCTGCTCCTGCTCCTCCTCCTCCTCCTCCTCCTCACGTCCCCATCCTCCTCCTCCTCCTCCTCCTGCTCCTGCTCCTCCTCCTGCTCCTGCTCCTCCCTCCTCCCTCCTCCCTCCTCCCTCCTCCTCCTCCTCCTCCTCCTCCTCCTCCTCGTCCTCGTCCTCGTCCTCCTCCTCCACTTCGCCTTGGCATGTTGCTCGTTCCGTGCATCTCCATGGACTTCTGGTCCCTTTGCAAAACGAATCGAGTTTGTTGTTCCCCGTCCTCGTGGCCACGTTTCGGCTGCAGCCTTCCCCCCGCCCCGTGCAACGAGGACGGCAGCTTGCTTGCCGCCTGAGCGGCGCGGCCGCTGGGGCCTCTTTGCATCGGCGGCGCATCGATCGCGGTGGTGGCGGTTGCCGCCGCCGCCGACACGCCTCTCCGGTAGGTGGCGCGCGCGGCGCCGAACATCAGGGATACGCCAAACTTGAGCTGGCCAGAACTTCGGGTGCCTCGCGTCGGGCCGGGCGGCAGAGGGGCATAAAACAATTCGGAAAACAGGCAACGGCACAATGGATATTTCGGATGTCGGGGCGGATTTCTTGCATCGGCGCTGGAACCTTCTGGCGTCGCCTCGCAGGCGCCGCGCTGCCCCTGGCGCGTTCCACGCGCCAGGGTGGGTGGGGGGTCCAGCGCCGTTTCAAGAAATCCGCGCGGACCTCCGAAAGCAAAGTTGGTGTTTATGCCACTGCCTCTCCTCGAATTAGGAAAGGCATGAGGAGGGGTGCGAAGTTGGCGCTGCGTACGAAAGTTTGTGCTTATGCCATTTCTCTTCCTCGAACATGGGAGAAGCATGGAGAGGGGTGCGAAGTCGGCTGCGCGCGGCCGGTCTCGGCTCCGCCACTAGGGGCGCCCTCCTCGAAGCATGGGCGCCTTTGCTGGTGCCTCGGGGAGGCGGCCATGAAAACCGGCCACGGGCGTTGAGTCGCTATCTCCTTTCGTTCGGGCGAGCGCTAAAAGGGGGTGACCCGCATTGGGGATGAAGAAAAGGGCCCTAAAAGGACCCTTGGGGCTCCCTTTTGGGCACCAGCTGGCTCCAAACACCCCCCATTTGGAACACCCCCCCTTCGCACCCGCCCGATGCGTCCGACCCGATGTTTGTCTAGGCCTCCTGGATGGGGTCCGAGCAGATGGGGTCTAATGCATCGGCGATGCATCGCCGATGTATCGGCGATGCGGCGCGACCCTCCGACCCCATCTATTCCGACCCCAGCTGGGAAGCTTCTAGTTTTACAGGTTGCTAATGGTTGTTTCGAACATCCCGTTTACGTGAGGTGCTCGCAGCGGGAGCTCGTGCCGAATTTCCTACGATGTCCTGCCGTTTTCCCCACGGCCCCGCCAGGCAAGTTCGAGCCCGCCAGGCTCGAGCCTTGCGTCTCCCTGGGAGGAAGGGCGCTCGGCTGGGCGAGTGTCTCAGCAGCCGCCCAGGGCTCCTTTGCAGCCCGTGCCGGTCTTGGCCCGTGGCCGTGGACCCCGTGCTGCCGCCAGCCAACTGCCACCCCCGTCTGCTCACCTCCTCCCCTCCTCCCTCTTCCTCCTCCTCCTCCTCCTCCTCCTCCTCCTCCTCCTCCTCCCCTCCTCCTCCCCCTCCTCCTCCTCCTCCTCCGCCCTCGGCTGGCCCAAGAGTCTTGCTGGGCCTGGCCACCACACGCGAGAGAGCGGCAGGAAGTATTCAATAATCTCACTGGTGCCGCCCAAAGTGGTGCGCACGCACGAGGGCTCCTGTTCGACGAAGGAGCGGCGGGGGAGAATGCGAAGGAGGCCCTCGTTGTCGAGAGCTCGAGGATGGGGCCCCGATGGACGGGGCCCTCGGGACTTCCAGGCGGAATTTGCGTTGGGCAGGGCTGTTCTTTCCTGTGCAGCGGCCCCTATACCGCAGGGTCCCGCGATTGGCGGGCCCACTCTGGGCGGGCCTTCTGTCCAAGAAGGAACACGGCACAAACGTAAATTGTCGTAGTTCCGCGCGGTTTTCTGGGGTCGGCGTTGGACCCCCCTTGGCGGCCCCCCAGTGCCGCCCTCGTGCACTCCCCGCCGAAGGTTTTTATGTTTCTGCCAGTTTCTGTCTTCTACGTTGGTCCGGAAGGGAAGAAACATACACACAGTCAGAATCGTCGACTCGCAGGTAAAGATGGGAACATATGGAAAGTGGAGGGGAAGACGAGCATCCACAAAATATAGGAGAACACGGGGAAGATTGGGATGCGTGTGTCTATTTATTGCGAAGGCCTGACGGCCGGTGCCGCCGACCCTGTTCGCAATGCGCAGCAAGAGATTACGAGGTTGCTCAAGGTCGGCTTGGCTGGAGCCCAGGGGAAGAGGAGTCCCAAGGGGGGGCGTCGTATCTGACCCGGGGGGGGGGTCGACACCCCCCCCCCCCCCACCCGGCGGGGGAGGGATCAAAGGGAAGGGGCTTCCCTTCGACGCAATTACGAGGTTGCTCAAGGTCGGCTT